GGATTCTTATTCCCAGTCACACTCTTTCAAAATCTTTCCTCAGCATTCTGGTTTCTCCATTGTCTTCCTGTTAACTTTCGTATTAAATAGGTAATTGCTTTGTTGACACCTAAAGCTCTCTACCATCTGTTGCAGCATGTTTTACTGAGTACTTTTTGGCTCTAAGATTCAGGCATGTCAGTCTTTTTATGGCATAGATTAGAATTCAAAACTATAATCATGATTGCCCTGAAATCTAGAAATGTTGTCCCTTGACTGCTTCAAAAGACATATTCCTGTTTGAGTTATTAAAGTAAGGCTTTCAGAGGGAGTGTAATATTAGGAAAAAAGCAAATAAATTAATTCAAAATGCTTATACATTTATCCTTCATGTTCCTTTTCATAATTTTTCTTGTCATACAAATCATGTATATTTGTCTTTTACAAAGGATGTGATCCTTTCCATTTCATGTCATTCCTGCTACTGGGTTTTTTGGTCAAGAATAATGCTGTAATTAATTGAGGGATGTAGCCAGTTGGAGAACAGATCAGCTTAAAAGAGGAATGTTTTTATTTGAAGACAGCACCTGAATACATTTCAAAAGGATTGAAGTAAATTAATACCCAGGTACATGAGTTTTAAAAAGGCAATTTTTCTTCTACTTTGTTGCACTATGAAAAGCTATCTTTTGGTCAACTTCTTCCTCTAATATTTCCAGGTAAATCTCCTTCTGTAGTAACACACCTCTGCAATGATTGTAACCCTTTAAAATGAATTTTTACTTAGTGAAAGAAATTAGAAGGTAGACATCTCTTGATCGTGATGTTTTTGTGATTGTTGTAATACAGCTTGTGACACATCAGATACTTTGAATATAAGCTGTCCTTGAAATTAAAATAAACCCAACTTTTCTGATCCTCAAGATAAAAAAAAATAAAAATCATTTTAGGATAAATGCTTTGTTTTAAAAATTTTGCATTATATTTGAAGGTATACGTATAGTGTATATGTGATTTTATAACAAAATCAGCATTTAATTATAATTTGCAGATTTTTTTTTTTAAAGCAGGGAAAATAAATTTATGCAAATGACCATCTTCTCAGGGTCCTTCCACTCATTTTGTAACTTTTGCTAATATATTTCAGTTTTTTATCTCAATGTGTTCATGGATCAGGCTCACCTCTTTTCATAGTAATAGTCTGATCTTATTGTATCATCCTAGAGCAGGGGCAGGCAATTCTTTTGGGTAGAGAGTCGCTTACCAAGTTTTGGCAAACTGTAGAGGCCGGATTGGTAGCCCCACCTCTTGACAGAATCCCTGCCCCTGGTTGTCATCTTATGACCAGAAGTCCCACCCCTAACCCCTGACCTTTGCCACCAGAAGTCCCTCCCCTTGCCCCCGGAAGTACTCCTTTCAGCAAGAGGTTTTGCTATCTCGGAACCAGAAAAATACCAAATTATATTCTAAAAAGCGAACATCTACAACATTCATTCATTTGGTTTCAAAAAATAATTTTGTCCTGATTTACATGCGTTTGTGTAGTGTACATAGAGGTGATTGCACAATAGCTTAAAATGAAGTTTTACTCTTGTACATTGTGAGGGGTGGGTATAGGTTTGTGGGGGGCTGTGAGTGTGTGGGTATGTGGGGTGAGGGAGCATGTGGGGGGGGTGGATATATGGGGTGTGCGTAGCTATGGGGTTTGTGGGTGCCTGGGGGGTGTGAGGGGATGCAAGTGGTCTGTATGTATGGCAGTGCGAGGGGGGTGTGGGTGCATGTGTATGGTGGGGTATGCACATTGGACTCAGCCTATGAACACACACACACACACACACTCTTTGCCCCTGCCTACACATACACACACACACACACACACACGCTGTTGCTGCCTGCTGCCCCACACACACACTGTCCCTGCTTGCATACACACACACTGTCCCTGCCTGCGTACATACACACACACACGTACACACACACACACCCTACTGACGTGGCCCCATGCTCCCCAGTCTGGCAATGCAGCCAGCAGCCACGTGATGCTGGAGCAGGGCTAGGGCAGGAAGGGAGTGAAATGTCTGGGGGTTGGCAGAGCTGGGCTGTTCAGTCCTGCTGAGGCTCCCCCTGGATCCTAGTGCCCCTAGCTCTTGTCAACTTTGACAGGCTGTGGGGCAGATAAATATTAATTTTCTCAATTTTGGGGGGGCCCCGCAGGCCAGGTAGGATGGCCTGGTGGACCGGATTCAGCCCATGTGCCATATTTTGCCTCCTCCTGTCCTAGAGACATATTAAGTTTGTTTTTAGCTGAATAGAGTATACCCCCAACATTTTAGTATTTTAAATGTAAAATTGTGTGTATATCATTGATATTTACACTTGTGCCGAACCCTTAATCTGTAATATTTTGATGTATTTATTTTGTTTTATCATTTCAGCCAAATTTAAGAAGTCATTAAACTCCTTTGTAAGTGCAACATATACATGTATTTTGAGCATGACCAATTAATTAAAAAGTGACTCCCTATCTGTTGTGCGATTTAAGTTCCAAACTACAGATATAAATCATTGATGCAGCAATTGGAATGTTAGAAAATGTGCTCACAATTAATAATGAGGTCAAAAATAGTAACAAGTATAATATTGATACTATGATACTACACTACTAAGTATAGGTGCAAAAATGGTATTAACTGAAAGGAAGGCTGGGTGTCAGGTCATGATGTATATTCAGTTATTTTAAGTACTGCCACTTCTATTGCTTATTTATGTATTAACATGGTGAAAGAACTTTGGAAGAACACTAACAAAGTTGGAACTAAGGTTGCAGGTATCTATTTAGTAGCTGACCTCCTCGGAGAAAATACATGGTCCAGTGTTTAAGGTGCTAATCAGGGATTTGGTAAACAAGGGTTCAGTTGCCTGATGTCTCAAAGACTTTCTTTGTGACCTTGGGAAAGTCACTGAGGGACAAATACTGTTTCACCTGCAGGCATGTAAGTGGCACTTATCGGTTTTTAGCACTTAAGCAGCAGGATTGCCCAGGTACATGCATTACTACTGGAGAGGCCTAGGTTTGGGTTCTGACCCATGCCCCACTGGCTCTTCTGTCCCTCCATTTAATTGTTGTTGTATAAAATGGATAAACAGTAGTGGGTTATCTTCTGCACTGTTGGGAGGGGGTACAAGAGACAGAACTCCTTGCTTCCAGGACAGTGCCCCTCTTACTGTGCCAAAGCAAACTTTGGTTTGCTCTACTCTTCCTGGCCCCATGCATATCCTCTCCTGTTGACTTCCCAAGCAGTGGGCCAGGAAGAGAGGTCTGAGCAAAGACTAGTCCATTTAGTACAGTGTTCCTCAACAGGCGTGCCACGGCACCCTGGGATGCTGAGAGTTCCTTTTGAGGGTGCCGCAAGGTTAAAGGAATAAGCACTTGCTGTTCCCCTCCTGGTCCCTATGCAAGGAGGTAAGTGTAGGCTCATCTGCCTGGTTCCAGTGCAAGGAAGTAAGCTCACACTTGTCCCTGCCCACTCTTGTGAGAGGAGCTAAGTGCTCCCTCCCCCATTGGCTCTCCCTGTATAAGAAGCTAGGCTCATCTGTGTCTAGCTCTAGCGCAAGGAGGTACTTACGCTTGTCCCTGCTCCACTGTTCGGAGGATCTAAGTGTTGGTTTCCACCCCACCAGGTATTAAGTGCTTCAATAAATAAATTAGTTATTGAAATGGGTGCTGCCTAATTCACAGGACTTACGAAGTTGTCAGAAGCCTTAAAACTTTGAGAACCACTGGGATAGTGGTTAAAGCATTTTGCTAGGAAGTGGGAGATACAAGTTAAAATCTCATCTGAGACTGGGGCTTAAATCCCCGGGTCTCCTACTCCTCTGGCAAACCACTAGGCCTTTGGGCTAAAAGATGGGAGGCCCATCCTCCTGCTCTCCCTCTCTCTCCCCACTCCTGTCAAACAGTTTTGCTAGTTGTGCTTTTCTTCCAACCAACGCTTCAGGGACTTAGATTGAGTTACATGCATACCTGAGTGAGTCTTCCAGCCCAGAGCCTATGTAGAATCCTGAGCATGCTCAGAAAGAGATGCAAGATGAACATAGCTACACAAGTACAGGCAATATCCAAGCTGTGGGTGCCAAAAAACGCAGTTACACAGCTATGCAAGTGCCACTTAGGCACATAAAGATGATATAGGATTTGTCCCTCAGTCTCCTTTTGTCTTTGTTAATGTGGATAATATAGCTCCTCTCAGGGTTTATCTTCGTAGCTGAAAAGATGAGATTTTTCTTTTTCTTTTAGTGATGAAAAAAAGGAGTCACAAAAGTATGGTAAGGGTCAGAACAATTATTTTGAGTTGCTGCCTAAATAGACCAAGAGCTTTAGTAAGACTAATGATTTATTGCACAGCAGAATAAAAAAAAAAATGACTGTTGCCTCATATAAGCAACACAAAATATTTACAGCTTCACAGCATTTTTACATTATAAACACTGAGATTTTCGAAGAGTAGTTCACAGCTGGAGACTGGTAAAACAGTTGGTTTTGTAATGGAAATATCTGTGGTGTGAGTGGTATATTTGATGTGTATGTTCATAAACAGCCATCCCAAGAGGTCCTTGTGGTAATGGATCAAAAGCAGGCTAAATTACGGTATGAGAAGAAACTATCATTTAAGGTCCTGATCCTGCAGTTAGATCCACTATCCTGAAGGTTCTGAGACGATTCATGGATAGAAAATTTCATACTAATACATCTGGTTGAAGAACTGGGCCTAAATAAGTAACTGAAATGTCATAGGATATACTTGTACCATATGGTCTAATTATTTATTTAGCTTTTTAAATGTATTTGTACTAGTAAAATAGTGATTTTTTCCTGCAATATGTACAAAAATAGGATCACATCTTGTTTGCAGTCAGATACAAATTTAAAAATGGAAAGAGTGAAATGAAAATGTTATGCCAGAGCTACCTAAATTTGTAACTGCTTATGTCAATTTCTTTCTCCTTTTTTCTGAAAACAGGTAATCAGATCCTATCCCTTGGGACACTGTCAAAAGATCAGGTTTATCCATTGAAACTCAAGGGTATTTCCATCTGCTATTCTGCACTCAAATCTGCCTTATGTGGAAATTATGTCAGCTTTGGCGTCTTCAAGTTGTATGGGGACAACCACTTTGACAATGTACTTCAGGCCTTTGTCAAAATGCTGCTGTCAGTATCCCACAGTGATTTGCTAGTAAGCAGTTATTCATCTTGGGAGTCTTTATATGAAATATGAAATAACACCACCACAGGTTTTGAATTGTTATAATGAGACAGAGGAATCTAGAACAGCTCAAATGCACTTTATATTTTCAATCTAATTACTTGAATTTATTTATACAGTCACATCCAAAATACTGGTCTTTCCATGTGTAATAAAATTGTTGTATCAAAGAGTTACATTTCCAAAATGTTCATTTTCAACATACATGGAAAAGAGAGACCTAGGTCTGCCCTTTTTGCATCCATGCAAACCAGTTGGCTTTATTAGGTTTTCCTGGGTATAACTGAACACAGTATTTGGCTGAGTATAATCAGTCATCCTTCCATTAATCTAATTTTTGTAAACTGCCATAGTCTGCTTTCCATAAGACAGTTTTAGAACATTAGGAGTGTTTGGTTTTCTTTTGCCAGTGGACTTTATTCAGCACTGCCATTTTCTGCATTGAGGACTGAATCTGATGGTAAGCAATGCCAAGTACTCAGAGATATCAGAAAAGAAAAAGAGTCCTTGCCTTTTAAAAAAATTATCCCTAGTCAGGACTGGTATATGGCTGCAATGATCAAATGTACCCACACAGCCATGACATACCAGACATGAAGGCATGGCCATAATGATGCTAACTAAACCTAGGGCTTTTTTGTCCTACAGGTGCATTCGGCTGATACATTCTTATGCTCACACACAACCCAGTTAAAGCCAGTGTATTTCAGGATCAGGTTACGCTGATTCAGGGTACAACCTGGGGTTAGTCCCAAACAGTGTTCCACATAATAGGAGGGGCAAATCAATGAACCCTTAAACTGGCCTCAAAACTCTTGATCTAAATAACGTTTTACATTACATCCCATGAACATCTCAGTAAGATGACATGTTCATGAGATGTAATGTAAAAGAGTAATATTATTATTTTGCTACCAAGAGTTTGTTTGTCATAAACTATAGTTAATAAATACAAGCTTAAAGCATAGGAGTCCATTTTATATAAAAATATGTTTTTGGTGGTAAAAAGGTTTTAATGTAATCACTAAATTTGTCACATCCTTATTCTTTGCATTCTTGGTTCTGTTTCAGCCAGTTTTGCATTTTTGAACAGGCATTCCAATTAGCTCATAGTATTTGTAACTAATGGTTGTTTGTTTTCCTTTTTCAGCAATATAGAAAACTAAGCCAGTCTTATTATCCACTCTTGGAATGCCTGACCCAGGATCATATGAGTTTCATTACCAGTTTAGAACCTAATGTGCTAATCTATATTCTTACTTCAGTATCTGAAGGACTTACTGCACTGGGTAAGTGTTACTTGCAATTTATCTAAGAAAGGAAAGTGAGGAATGTGTAGTAATTCCAGCATGAGGTGCACCCACATCCTTTCACCTACATATCTTAAATAAATGCACAGATTTTCAAAGGATCTTAACACCTATTAGCATATTGATTTGCACTTCAACAAATTACTGTCTAGAGAGACAGGGTGCTACTGGGTTCTGAGCATTTTGAGAATCTGATTTAATTCAGTGAGAGGGAGTTGTCCAATAGTATGTTGCATATGATATTATAAAATGATCTTTCTAGAAACATTTTTTACTTACACTTAGATTATCTCTGAAGAACCTTTACAACAAGAAATGTAAAATAAATATAAAATGTCTTAAAGTCTGTAATCCTCACAGAAGAAAATTTTAACATGCATATAATACATTTTCTCCTTCAGAAAACCATTTGTTCGAAGTCATGTTAACTGTTAACCTCCAAACATTCGTTTTTATTTATTATGGCTATTTTGTGGGTAGAGATCATTCAGTATAGCTGGTGTATGAGTCAAGTAGACGAAAGATTCCTCTTTTCCTTGAAAAGGATACTGAATTGTTATTTATAAAGAATATGTATTGGCTGTGTAACAAAGTAAACCAACAGCATACTTAGAGTGATATTAAAAACCTCAGTAGTGTGGTTGTAATTGATCTTTATTCATTAGCACTTTCTAACAGATTATATGTTGACTGTTAGTGGCTTAAATTAATTTGAAATAGGGAGGTAGAGAACAGAACGTTGGAGGGAAAAAAGACCCATTAAGTTTTCTGATCAATCTAGAAACTAGAATAATATGCATGGTGATATGAAGCAGTATAAAACCTGCAGATGCCATACTTTAATTAAAAATGGGTCTGAATAGTTTATGTAATAAATTATATTTAAAAAATAATCTGCATGCATAACACTGGATTATAAGGACCTTTCTGTGTATGCTTAACATTTCTTTCTACCTCCAAAAAATCAGTCCTTCCCTGTATGAATGCACAAACACACTGGCCAGCATAAGCTTTATGTTTTACAAAACAGGTTAAATAGTTTCTGCTACTCAAGAAAATGTTTCTAGAGGCTGATGGACACTAAAAATGAGCAACATTGTCTAAGATGATTTTATTATTTAATGCCAAAATGTATCTAGTCTCAAATATTTTGAGTGCCCACTCACATATAATGATGGCCAAACAACTTATGTGTATAGGCTGACTCTGCTGTGAGCCTGCCTGTTGCTGTCTGTTTCTATATTAGAATTTCCTTGCGGATGGATGTATTGGACCAAAGGCTGCCTTGAACTGCAGCTACCCAAGGACCAAGTTCATTATGTGTGCCCTACTTCACATTTGGATCATTTCCCTTTACAACTTCGAATATATTTTGTATAACTGACTACCAGCTTTCTCAGTTGTATACTTTGAAATATAATTAAATGTGTGTATGAGAGAGGAGAAAATAAAGATATGTCAGCTTTTAGTTCTCAGACTGATCAGAAGAAACACATTTCCACCCTTACAGAAAATTTTGAGTTTTCAGTTTTTTAAAAATTTTAGCTGAACATTTTTGTATGTTAAGCACTTGATTCCCAATGTAAAACCAAACATTTTCAAGCAAAGGAAATACTTTCCTTAAAAATGTTTTGTTTAGTTGGAAACCTAATTTTCTGTCAAAAAGCTACAACCGTTTTTCTGACCAGCTCTGATTCCCATTATTCCTCATGAGCCACTGGTTTTCCATGTCAATGCACTCCTTCAACTAGTTTTGAACTAATAAAAATGTGTGTGTGTGTGTGTGTGTGTGTGTGTGTGTGTGTGTGTGTGTGTGAAATCAAATACAAATGGTTTTTTTAAAAAGGAAAAAAATAACTACCTCTTCCATGGTAGACTCAATCCCTGGAAGTTAGAGTCCAAATCAGTCAAAGGGTCTAAGATTTGCAAGCTGTATCATTCAGGTTTGAATGATATTTAATTGATTGTATTTTCTCTGAGTACCAATTCCCTTTAAGTCTTTAAGCATTGTCCTGCATCTGTAAGTCTTTCAGCTTGCTTCCTTCATCTTCTTTTCCTGCGGCCAGGCGAAAACCAGCCTCCATTAATACTGTGGCCCTGAAGTAATCTCTTCTGCTAGCATATTGTTAGTAATGGTTGCACAGGTCCAGTTTCTTGGCAGGTAAATTAATTTTTGTCCCTTTAATTTCTGCTTTAGGACCATGGATTTCTCCTCAATTTTCCTTTTTATTGTCTAGCATTTCAAAAGAATTTTGACTCTGCAAAAATGTCATAAGTGGGATTTTGGTTCATAACTCTTTTTAGCTTTTCTGAAAATCTTGTTATATGGTGCTACTCATAATATTTGACAATGCATTCAGACATGAATTTCTACCAAAAGAAAATTTCCCAGACAGGCCATTTTTGCTCTGGGAGAAAAAACCTGAACATCTATACACTTTTTTTTCAAAAATGTTTGTAAAGTTAAGTACCTTTCATTTATTTTGAAAAATAATTATATCCCACAGGGTTACTTTTTTTTTCTTGGAGCAAATATTTATTCATGTTTTTACCCATTTCACTTTAACTTGTGGAAACTTAGCATATGAGTCATATTCCACAACTCAAGTTGTAGAATAAAGAAGCCTCAAATCCTTATTTCTCAGTACTATTCATTCTGTTTTGAATGGACACCCTGCATGCATCATGATTCCACACTTTATAATATACTGAGAAATAATATGTATTCCTTTTGGAGCCCCTGGCTGTAAATCAGACATAATGGAAGCCCTCATCTAGGCTTTTATTGCAAAAATAAACACTCCAACGTTTCTCCTCTAAAGTGTTTACCTGGCTTTTTCACAGCTGACTCAGTGGATTGGAACCTTTTAATGTAGCCTGCCTGGCATGTTGTCACTAATCTCCATGTGAAGCTTTTCTAATTCTCCTATGATTAATGGTGTAGTTTGCTATTCATTTAAGGGGGGGAAATATAGCATTTTCTGTGTCTCACTGCCTAATTTAGATGTAAAATTGCTTAATCTGTTTACTTTCTGGGTTTACACTCAAAGGCAGATAGTGCTTATATTAAAGTATAGATAGACTGACAGGGAAATGCTACTTAACTCAAATCCATCCCCTTTACCTTAATCTTGTAACAAAAAATCTCTTTAATTGTGATACACTCATTAATGTAATTAGATCATTTAAAAAGAGTCCTGTTTACTTCTTTGGCAACATTCACATCGTGTTAAGGGCAAAGGGCCTTTTTAAGTGTTTTTTTAGTAACATTAACCACTCTAATGCTAATACAAGTCACTAACTGGTGCGAGTGTTAAGGAGATCATAATTTTCCCCATTTATCCCAGTCCTGCCTCTCAGATTTTCCAGCCTGTCCTTTGTCTACACCTAAGTTATTATAGATCTTTGTTAAACTGGTTTATCATATTTATTTTTTGGTTAGTTTTTCTTTGGTAAGATTCAATAGGAACTCTACCCAGCCTCATTCCAAGGACCTGCATACTCTGAGAAATCAGTCTGGGAATTTGTATGACCTTCCCAGGCATGTTATACCTATGCAAATGAAAGAAAAATGAGCACTGAGAACCACATCTGATATACAGTTAAGGGAAAATATAAGTAGCTCTCAACACTTTTAGCAGATCATCAAGAGTTGATCATAGGCTAGACCTGTCCACTATCCTACTAAGATCACTTACTGTTCAATGTAAATCTTCTGTTTGTACAGTATCAGCATGTTTAGAGCTACTACCCTTTTGTCAACTGCTGTTAGTGATTTGTCTTATTTGTTTGGAAAACAAATGGTGTTAAAAGACTTGTTTAGAAATAGAGCCCACCTCTGCAGTACATATTTTCAAATGTCGCACTTGTTAGTGTTTCAGTTCGGCTAACAATTGCATTTCTATTTTATATGCAGGACTGATTTAGTAGAAAAACAATACATCAATGTTCTTACAACCTCTACTCAGTCAAAACTCTCAACTTTAGATTTTAGGTTAACTCGAGCAAAAATTTCTAATGGCCTGTTCCCATTGAATTCAGCCACCTCCCAATGACTTCAGGGAAAGCAGGTCAAGACATTCAGGCTTAATTCAGTGTTAATTCATACTTAAAGTCAGAAAAATGTGGGGACTCTGCATCTCCCAGGTCTACTTAGTATTTTGTAGGGTCAGGCCTTCGGCATTCAGTTGTACATTGTCTAGCAGTGCTTCCAAAGACCTTATAAAATTACAGTTTAGAAAAATACTATTGGGTTTTATGGAGGAGAGTTAAAAGTAATATCAAAATGGAGTTTAAGGAGTTAAACGGACATAGATCAAAATATGCCATTGTCCAGAGGGATATATTTAAATGAACACTTCAAGGTTGGCAGGCTTCCAGATTAGCATAATGTAAAGAACCAAAGATACATTTAATTGGATCCTTCTAATGCCTTTCCCCTCAAAATGAAAACTTTAATTTCTTCTCTAGCCCTCACGCAACCCCTGCTCCTTGAATACAACATGTAGTTCTGGTATCCCCATCTCCAAAAGAATGTAGCAGAGATAGGAAAAGGCAATAAGTATGATCAGGGATATGGAGAGATTTCTGTACAAAGAAAAACTAAATAGGCTAGGACTTTTCAGCTTAGAAAAAACTATGTAAAAGGAGATAGGGTAGAATTTTATAAAATAATGAATGGCATTAGCTAATGAAACTTTTAGGAAGCAAATTTTAAGCAGGTAAAAGGGAGTTCTTTTTCACATGCATAAATAACTTGAGGAAATTATTGCCACAAGATGATGTAGACAATTTAACCAGGATCAAAAGAAAATCAGTCAAGTTTGTGTAGCTTAGGTCCATCAGTGGATATCAGACATCATAGGTGAGGGATGCAAGCCCAAATCATGACATGGTTGTCCCCTGAATGCTAGAACTTGTAAGGATTGAGGCACAATGGGGACAGATCAGTCCAGATATCCCTGCCTATACTCTCCCATTTAGCATCAGCATTCTGCTACTGTGTGAGTTACAGGATTACTGTGGTCTGACCCAGTATGGCATTTCTTATGTTCTGCTCTAATGACCCATCCAATATAAATGCTATGAGCTATTTAGGGGGCAAGTCATGTTCGCACTGAATTTAGTGAGAGCATGATTGAGTCCTAAATGCTGGCAAGTTTATTTCATGTTTACAGAGAACATCATGTATGTCTAAATTCTGCATCCAGTAAATAATTCCATGTACATGGAGAGCTTTGGCTGTTTCTAGGATCATGAGGAACAGCCATCTGGTTAAAATGCATTTCAAACCAGAAACACACTAAAAGAGTTGGGTGGAAGACCGCAGCTGAGAAAGATGATTGAGGGCTTTACCTACTGCCAGTGTTCTCAAGGCCAAAAAAATCTCAGGTTTCAGGTTAAGAGGAAATAACAGCTGGTAAGAGGGAAGGGTAAGCACAGCTATTTTCAAAAGGGGAAAGAAAGAGTGTAGAAACAAATGACCGGCATACTATTATCACCATGCTGATGCAGACAAACAGAATACACTTTCACAGCAGCAGCAGCAGCACAGCGGGCTACACCTAGCAACAAAATAACTTAGATAAATCAGACAGACATATTTACTTTGCAAATAAGTTTAAGCTTTTAATCTCCCAATGTGTTATCTTAGTTATAGAAACAGTAAGTAAAGATGTGAATTTGCTTTTGCTGTTTACTGAATCCTGCTTTGCTTTAGTGCATTTATATCCCATAAATATTAATGGAATGTTAGTCAATAAACATTATTATGTTATCTTCCTTTTGTATTTTATTAATTAATTAAACTATCAAGCTCTAAATAAAGTGACCAAGTAAACATTTTATTATAAACATCCACCTTCCTCCTGCTGTTCCTTCCCTGCCTTTTGTGACTCTCACACTTTTTTCAGTATCTAAAGCATAGGCTATAACCTTTTTCTGGACAGGGAAGCACCACTTACGTATTTAGTAAAATATTTGATGCACTTGGAATGCTTGAAAATATGACTCAGTTGCCTGCAAAAACAGGGAACTGATATTGATGACCCAGACATTTCCTTCAAATCCAAAGTTCTTCATATAAAAATAATGTTATGGCATTCTTCATACGTTTGTGACTGTTGGGGTGCTTAGCTATGTCAAGAGATCTAAAAATGTTACTTTAAATCTTAATGTTGACTCTTTGTAATAAGGAAAATTGAACTTGGTTTCCAGAAATCTGGAGTCACCTAAATATAAAATGGCACATCAATAAAAATACAGCTTTGATCCTGCAGTTTTCTGTGAACAGGAAGACAGTGCACTGAATCCCCATGTAGGATTGTAGGACTGTAAATTGCAGAATTGAGTCCATATTCTGTTTAATAAGGAGAAATTGTCAAAAGCAAGAGCAAATGGTAAAACAGTGTATCATTTAATCCAGTGTGGGCGCATCTACATGAGACGTTACGTTGCCATAGCAACGAGCTATGGTGACGTAGCATCAGTGGGCACTAACTGTGACGCTGCCGCTACTGCACAGCAGGGTTGAAAACAACCTGTGCATCACTGGGACTGTGCAGCACATGTAGACACACCCTGTCTGACATAAACTTCTAAGGTTGCTATTTCTGTACAATTTATTCACTGTTACAAGATGGTAATATTAACTGTTTTGTTACATGACAGAAACAACACTCCAACCCTACTAAAATTATTTCTTTCATTGTTTATGCAGATACTATTGTCTCCTCCAGCTGTTGTGCTAGCTTAGACTACATTGTTACCTACCTCTTCAAGCACATAGCAAAAGAAGGCAAGAAACCACTCAGATGTAAAGAAATTTCACAGGAGGGACAAAGATTACTACATTTCATGCAACAGAACCCGGAAGTACTACCACAGGTAAATTGAGGTTTTCCTTTAGCCGCGGGAGCGTCAGACTCTCCTGGGATGAGTCAGATGGTGTCGGCCCCGCCCCACAGGCAAGTTCAGACCCCCCCCCACCCCCCTCCCTCTGTATGCTGCATCCAGCTGACACCACTTGGCAGTTCAGGATGCAGCAGGAAGAAGCCTGGCATTGTAGACACTTGGCTGCCACCACAGGAACAAACCGTGGTGCTGGGCTTCTTCCTGTGGTGCTCCTGGAGTCCCAGGGCCACTGCTCTGAACCTCAGTTAAGACCTGATGATGCTGGACTTCTTCCCACAATTCTGCTGGTCTCACCCAGGTACTTGACTGCTGCTGAAGGAGGGTTCATGATCAAGGCTGTAGGCTAGATACGTGGATCCAGCCCGCAAGCCATATGTTTGACAACCCTGCCTGAGGACGTCATTAAATTCATGAATTTTCCTCAATTCCTTATTTTCCTGTTTATTTTCCTCAACTTGAAGTACATTACATCATGATCATTTCAGTTACTTAGCAATAGTCTTACTTTGCGTAAGGAGGTATTTTTATGCTCTGTCACCGCAATTAATTTCACATTTGTTTCCATACCAACATCAGTACAGTATGGCGAATGTGTTTCTTATTTTGCTGATGACATAGATATTATATTTTAGTCTTGCTTGTTTCATTTTTTGGAATAATGTCTTTTACATTTGACTGTAGCTTATAAGATGAAGAAACTCCGTGCTCATTTTTAATTTATCCCACACAGGTCTGTAGAGAAAGGGCAGTGGGGTTTGTAAAATATTTTAAGTAGGGCAGAAACACTTCAGTTGTTTCAGTAACACATTTGGCTATTTAAATGTAAAACTCCTCTTTTTATTTTAAAGCATATTTGATACTGTGCTTAAATGCTTTACTTATGGTGTATTTCATATTTTAATCGGGATTTTTGTGTCAAAGGTAAATACAATAGAGAAATCGAATTTCATGTTTCAGGAATGCAACTGATCACTGCTAGCCGTGGTCAAGAGAATTTCCATTTTCTACATCATAGCAAGGGGAAGTGATGTAGACTACTTAAATTTATTTAATATGCCAGTTTTAAGTACATAATATTATTGCTAGTGCAAGGATCCATAGATTCCCAGAGCACTTAGTACAATTTCATCAATGTAGTTTCACAAATGACAAATTTGCTTTTGGGGGCTTTTAAAGATAACAAAGGGAATTAAGAAAATACCAGTTACAAGGTAATGCTCATTGTCCTTGTACTTTGGTAACAAGTTGTTGGTTGCCATTTTAAAAAAGCTGGTGTAGCATAACAGTTACAATATAGTTACCATCATTATTTACTATTCTAATTGGAGGTGTGGAGTGTGGCAAATGTTGGCTTGTTAATGGTGACTGTGAATTATGTTACATATTGTAAGTCAGTTTGTGACATTTATTATTGTCACCGTTATCAGGATATGACATAATACCACTGTCAAATTCTCACAATATCCTTGTCTTGTGGATGTTGCATGGAATCTGGCAGCGGATTTAGCATTCTTATGTACCATTGTACACAGTAGGGTATCATGAGTATAGTGATCTGAGCATAAAAGACAGAACAGCAGCCTTGACTCTGGATTTCCTTGCATTTGTTTCATTCTTATTGCAATATTTTGTGTGGTAATAATATGTGGAATCTTTCAATTTATAGTATATGAGTAAGCGGTCATCTATCTTGATTAACTTCATAATCCATGGAATACATTATATTTATTTTGAATGCAGGCTTTCAGATACTCTTTTAAATATTAATGACTGGTCTCCAGTAGTCAGCATAAATATGATTTGCATTAGCACTAGTCATATTATATTGAGTGCCTCTGATGTCAACTATTCAGCGTACTAATATCTGACATCATCTCCCGAGGTCACTGACAACTTTGACCTTTATTCTCATGCATGGTTTCTATGGTCTCAGAAGCTCTTTTGAATTGATTTGAAATTTTGACTCTTCCCTTTATGAGGCAGTAAAATTGATAATTATTCAGATGGGAACTGAGCGCTGAGTGAAAAATCAATTCTACCCGCTCTCTACTGCGTATAAAATTACTTCTGAGTCTGCTGGACTGAACGGATGGCCAAGGTAAAAGCAGCAGGCAGGAATAGTAGGGAGGATTAGCTGGACGGAGCTAATAGCCTAAAGGGATGGCTTTTGGGATGAGGGAGTGGGCCGGTTGGGGGTTATTATCAGCAGTGATGGGACTCATTGATCATATGTTTACATCAGGTTTCCATTGGGTTATAAATCAGCTCTGAATAGAAGCGGAACCTAAGGCCTTACATCTTACCAGAGGGACAGTGTATTAGATTATTCTCATTTTCACACTCAGATGAAAAGTGAACCATTGATTATTCATTGGCTGGCCATTAAACACTGGTTTTATAGATGATTTGACTATCATGGATGCTAATGAACAAGGTTGCTGCTTCATAACCAGAGGTTTCAGTTTTCAAGACATCTGTGTCGGTTAAGTAATGCGTAACCCTATTAAAAGGAATGGGTTACAAATTGCTTAACAGTGCTGAAAAACTAGACCCTAATGAGTAATTGTACTTTGAGTTTAGAGAGGTTTGTCAGGTCTTTAAACTAAACTGATGCAATATGCTGCAATTATTTACTAGTTAGAACATTTTTTCAACTTCAATCTCAAGAAGGATAATTAGACATCTAAAAGTTTCTGATAAATGAGATAATGTTTATGTTCCAAAGTTATACAATGAAACTGGAGCATATCTTCATTAAGTCATTTTCTTTTTTTCTCTTCTATAAAGTGGAGTTCATAATATTTTTTATACAAATAACTTTAAGAGCCTCTGAAGGAAGACATAAATTCACAGGATTATTGTTAATAATAATACAGGTGTCACAAGGAAGATAAGAGAGATGATAAGGCCGTGAGGCATGTATTCAGATTATCACAGTACACAAACAACCATTTATTTTGTGTACTGATATTTTTCTCTTTTCTTCTGAGCAAAGGAAATTACTAGAGGAAATGTTGGTTAAATTTTGCAGTTTAGAAAAATTAACTTTGTCTTTTATATCTGTTGTTGACAACCTGTTACAGTTGTGCATGGGTGTTATCAGTGACAGTGCATACGTCCCTTTGCATTTAGCCTGAACAGAAATTATCTATTAAATAAAATTAGAAAAATATAATAAGATAGTATATATTTGTGGGGGGGAAGAAATATGTATTAAATTTAATGTTTAGTAAAGGAAAGCAATAAACATCGATGTGCTAAAGCCTCAAGGAGAAAAATTGTGTACATTGTTTAGGATTGATAGCTGGCAGTATTAAAGTATTTTCATTATGTGCAATCTACTAATAGGCATTCATTTACTTATGCCTTTTGATGGAAAAATTCCTCTGGGATAGGCATTAGAGTTATGTCTAGAGAGAGCAGTGCAATTTTAAGGTTTCTTTCTATTTAGTATGGTTGATTCTCTGCTAGTTTGATAGAATAAAATAAAATTTGTATAGAATGAGCATCTTTATCAGAGTTGCCATTAAGAGCTTAATTACAAATGCTGTGAACATGATGCTTTACACCTCCCCAGAATAAGACATCTCTTAGACATTATATCTCTGATACAATTTTAATTTTATATTTGAAGCTAATATCACTCTAAAGGGTTCAAATATTTTATAAAGTAAACATTGCTCATTTGCAAATAGGTTTTTTAATTGGCTGAGCAGCTCTTTAGTTCATGCCCAAGATAAAAGCCAACACTATAAGTTTTTATATCTTTTTTAAAAAAATGGATTTCACTATAGATTTTGAAGAGCTGACATGAGTTACAAGGATCACACTTTAGTAGAGACTTAAATGGAAACCACATACAACTTTTTCTGCTTTTCATGCCATATAGCCGCACATGAATTACAACAAAAAGGAGCTCATCTTCCTTTTTCTTGTAATTATTTCTTGTATTTGAATTGAAATGTTATTATTCAGCATTTTGACATACAATAAAGTACATATTTCATGCTTAAAATTTGGATTCCATTTAATTGTAGTAAGCAGCAGGAGAAGCGACAGCATTCTTTAACAATGCTTTGAATTTACATGAGAACTTAAAAGTAAGCCTGTGTTTTAGGAAAACTCTAAAATAAATCATTAATACAATGTACAAATGTTTTGGTTTTATATTTTTTGCTAATTATGAAAAATCACACACTGTCGTTTAGACGCATGGCATCTGTCTCAGCCTTTTGTATATTGAAGTCATAGAAGTGAAATTGTAGCATCGCAGTCCAAAGTCACTTTTCTGCTAAGGACCGATGTCACAGACTCAAGATTACAACTCTACTCCTGGTTTACTGTAAAGGAAAAAGCTGACCTGGGAGGAAGAAAGCTCTTAATGAAAAACAAGATTGTAACAAATTGAAAAAGCAGGCGAGTCACTGGTGAAGTAAACCATTGGTTTCTTATCACAGTTGCCTCTATGTTTAAATTCTCTTCTTATCTTCCTCCAAGTTAGAAAAGGATACCTTTTTTTGGATGGTTCCATATTATTTTATGTGCAGTTAGCCAGGACATTTTGTTAGGGAAGTCCTTTTCTTGCACGTGTGTCCTATGGAGAGGGGACATGCATATATTTAAATTTATGATTTCAAACTAGATATGAAATATTTCACAGCAAATCTTTCATGATAAAGCTCCAAGTAATAGTTTGCACCAGTAGTTCACTAAATGTGTGTGCTGCCATAATAGCACTGTCCTTGGTCCTCTTTCTTAGCCTTTAAGCAGCAAGTAGTAGTCTGGTTAAAAGGATACTGCTTCCCGTTCTGTTTCCTTGGGTGTGTCATATGCCAGCATTATTTTAAATGAGCAGTTGTGATTGTAAAATTACAGGCTGAGAGGGCTTAAGGGCAAGTGCCCTACTAGAAACTGATACTTTCACATAGACATATAAATTAAGAGCATCCCTTTTAAGCCTAGAAAAAGAAGTC